AAAAAAATCATGCGCTTAAATATGTATATATATATATATATATAACAAATATTGTTGCAAAGCGTTAAACGTTAATCGTTTTAATTAATTATCTTGATTAAAGTACATAATTATCAGGTTACGGCAGAAATAAGAAAAAAATAAAGAAACAAACGCATGTATGTGAGTATATGTATATGGATGTGTGTCTGTGAGTGTGTGTGTAACTCATGGCGCACAAGCATGTCGAGTTGTTTTTATTTTGTTTTCTTCTTTAAATTCGTGTTTCGTCTTTCACACCGTCACACACCTTTGAACGTCTACGCCATCCGCTAGCAATGTTGCTGCTCTTTTTGCACACATTCATAGCCCATTAGTACCTACTAGAAAATATGCGTGCCTGCTTTTTACTTTACCAGAGAACATGTCTCAGCGAAGGCAGGTAATAATGACTTATCTTCGCTACTCGACACACCAGTCTTGCAAAATTTCATCGCGTTGCCTTCGGGTCGATTTGGCGCCTCTGTGCATCGTCTGCTTAGTGCTGTAAGATAAAATCTGTAAGTAACTTGCTATCGATAACGATCGATATCGATATGAATGGTGTGACCGCCAACTTGAAGAGCGCAATCGTTCTGAATAAAGAAATACAATTTAGTTGTAACTGCTGCATATGTATATTAATTAATTTGGCTGTATTCTATCTTTACAAATAAAAATGGTATGTTCCGAATGTCTGAAAACTGATTCATATAGTCGGTAAAAAGTAGAACGGAAAGATTAAAGCTGTATCTTACGTACAGTAAGACGCTCGTTATACCTTCGCAGTGGTTATTTTAGTATTGCTTTTAAGTTTACAACACATTGAAGGAGACGTGTGCGACGCCATATAATATGTATTGTCTTGATCAGCATTCCTAGTCGTGTCGATATTGCCATTTTCGGTCATCTATTTGTCTTTCCGTTTCTATGCAAATTAATGACAAAAATTATTGGTGGTAGAATATTAAATTCCTTATATAATTTATTTGGCCTTGTATTTGAAGTTATTAACTTTGGTTGTATGTATTTCTGGAGGTTTATTGGAATATATAATTTCATTGGGGAAGTTGTACATTTTAAATCCAACAGTTTTAAAGCTATCTTGATGAAACTTGACATTTATTCGGTTTTTTGCTGCAGTCAGTTTTTTGAGCCTTTCCATAAAAATAATTTTTTATTCTTACTCTCAAATGTTGGAAATGCTGCTTGAATGTGCTGCATGTAAATGCGGACTATGCGCGTCACGAATATGTATGAGTGTTTGTATATTGTTAACTAAATGTCAAATTGGTTCAGAGTACGACATACTCGTAGTTTATTAGAAACGCTGCGAGTCTCTGACTGCTGTCAGGCCTCGCTCGGTGTCATATCAATCAAATTTGGCGCTAACAGACAGACTGACTGACTGACTGACGTAGACTGCCTCAATGTCAAAACACACAAGTGCACTCGATGGACAGGATGGCCCCAGTTTGGTAGTCCTCGCTTCCGATCCAGCAACAGCTGCAGCTGCAGCTGCAGTCTATGCTGTGTGCAAACTCAATTAATTTAAAGCGCCTGCAGCTGCTTTATACTTAGGAGCAATGATGATGATGAGGAAGCATTTCATTTCATTGATTTGGCATGCCATCAACTGCATAAGATGCTAGATTTATAGATGGCTGCCATGTGCAGTTGGTGTTCCCGCCCCTAATTTGGCACTTAAATGCAACGACGTGCGTGGGCCGAAGTGACTTCTGGAGTGCTCAAGAGGCACACGTTTCGAAATTCGTGGTGGAAAGCCATTCTTATACCCTGTATATATATATATATATATATATATATATATATATTGGAATATTTTCTAAAATCGTCCTGAATTTCTTGCGAGGGCAACTCAGCATATTATTCAGTAAATATAGTTCCTTAGGGAAAGATTGTGTCCTAAAATATAAATTTATCCGAAATTTAAAAAGTTTTTTTCTTGTTTATATTAGTAATAATCAAATTGTAGGAGGATTTCACATATATAAAACATTTTGATAGCTTTTAATATATTCTTATTATTTAATTTCCTTAATATTTTCTGAAGTTTAGAAAGAATGTTTTTTTTTTATTATAGTGGCTTGAATTTCTACTTTTAGAAATATTTTCGATTATTAAGTAAAATATTTTGGAATAGTAAAAAGAAGCCTTTTATTTTATTTTATTTTATTTTATTTTATTTTAAAAGAGAAGAACATTTTTTGAGGTGAATTTCTAAAAAACAAGACGATTTTTATTCTGATTGAACTTTAAAAATTGAATATTTTTTTTATTAATTATTATTTAAGTTTTTGTTGTTCCAATTTATTCAATTGAAATAAATATATATTCTTGTCGGGTTATTACAGGCCATGTGCTAGTCGAGCACTCGCCACGTGGCGCTCTCTTAAATGATGCTAGTATTTATGTATAGGCATATGCACACGTTTCACAGTGAATGGAACTGCTATAGATTCCCATCACGCGCCACAAAATGCCGTTACGTGTTTGCCTTGCCGCCTCCATTGGCGACGATGCCAAAGGTGTCTCTCTCTCCCCAGTGCCGCGTGCCAGTGGATTATGTGGCTCGTGGCTGTTAGATGGTTGTGCCGGCCTGTGGCCGTGTGGCTGCGTCCATCCGTGTCGTTATTGCTGGCATATTCAATAATTGGTGCGCCCCAGCAACTACTTCTACTACATGCTACATGCTGCATGCTACATGCTACATAGTTTGACAGGCGGCCAGAAAGTATGCTGCATTCAATTTACGCTACTCATCACCACAGCCCACAAAATGCTCATGGAAATTGATTCAGCGCTCAGTTTGTCGCCTGCAAATGAATTTCGTGGGTGTGGTTATTTGATGTATGTATGGGTTGTGCCTTGTGCCTTGTGCCGATGAATTTCTCATATCACTTTTGGCTTTTTCACACGCATCTCATTTTCATAGGTGCCCGCATATAGGATTTGTCGCATTGCGCTCTTGGGCGTAATTATATATTTTTAGGTGCCCTTTTGGGCACACTCACAAGCAGGCTACAGAGATGGAGTGGGGGGGATTGGTAGATTAAACTTTATGAAAAATTACAATTCCGCCTCCTTTTATGAAATAACAAAACATTTCCAGCTATTTGGTGTGATGGAAACATGTTTTAATCTTGGAGGACACAAAGGAACCCTAAATATGACCAAGTTTCTCGCATTCGTACAGGAATTAGGGTTGACGGAATAGCTATAGGCACAATAGATTTTATAGATCATAATTAGGTACATTATTTCTTATTTTATATTGCTGTAAGACAAACCTGTGCAATTATATTAATTTCTTATTATTCATTATCATTTTTCTTATTTACATATGTCGAATTTTATATTATTATATTTATTAGTTTATATTTTCTGTTATTATTGACCTAAATATAAGGAAATTTAAATATGTATATAAAATTGAATTTTTTATAGTCACTTCTTCAGCGACATTTTCGTTGAATTCACAAAAATACACCTAGCATTGGCGGCTAACAGTTATTGCTAATCAATATAAAATCGCATAAAACTTATGTTGTTACACATACACAAACATACATATCAATTAAAACATATATGTATTTGTGTAGGTTGTATAGTATGTATAGCTATTGGTTTGTCTGAATTGAACAGTTTCGTTTCATTGTGGTGCATTTTTTTTTGTCTTATTTTCTTTTTTTCTTTTTTGTGTTTCTGTTTTCACTTCAATTATTTTCAATTGCATTTCAGTCGTGAGCATTGCCAGCGATTTTAAATTGCACATTCTAAGCATTAGTTTTACTACTTGCATTGAGTCGAGTGAAATCGATAATTGTTCGCTCTAAACAACTGTTGTTTTTTACTACTCTTTGCTCTAATTGAAATGCCCGCCGGTGCAACTTAATTTTTGCGCAACGACGCATTTCTGTTATCAGTTAACGCAGCATCTCAAAGGAAACAAACAATGCAAAAACAGCAAAACAGATGCTAAAGACGACGACGACGGCGAACTGGTTTCTCAGTTGACTGCAGATGTGAATAGGAAGAGAACGAGATTGAAGGGCAGCAACAGATGCCCAAAAAGAGACGAACCAAATAACACGTGAGGCGAGAAGCGACTGAAAAAGTTCGACAGAGGCGGCGCTGCATTAATATAATGAGGGGAACGAAATGCTGTTCAGTTGCTACACACGCAGACGCACCTTTTAGGCAGTTGCTGCTGCTGCTGCTGCTGCAAAAAAAAATAAAATACGATTGCTGTAATCGAGTGAGCTCGACTTCGATATACCCTCAATCCAGTTGTTAAACATATTCTGGTTTTATTTATTGCAAGTGCGCTCTGCCGACAAACACGTGAATATTCATACATACGTACATACATATATACGTACACGCATCGTAGGTAACGGGACTCTGCAGAATGCACACAAACATATTGCATATATGTACATACATACATAAATACGTACAGGCAATCATAAGTAACGGGACACTGCCGAATACACGCAAAAACATATTGACGCTCGCGTCGATTATCATGCCATCTCTTTCTAACACATGCGCTTGCATATTCATTCATGCATACAGAAAATGCTTGCGGCTACTGATTGAAATGAGATCAATGTGGGAATATATTTTCGGCTATAACTTGGGCATTTCTTATCCGATCTTGATGCAACTTGGGCCTATTCCAGAAAATATATACTTTATGGGGTCGGAGATGCTTCCTTCAGCCTGTTACATATATTTGCACAAAACCATTATACCCGTTTTACACATTTTTAATGGATTGTGGGTATAAAAAAGAAGTAAAATCAGCACAAACATTTTGCAGCTGGTGTGAGAGATATTGAGAACAGGAGTTGATTACTTGCCTACTGACGCAGGGCCAGCAAAAAAGTGACGAGGAAGAAGAAACAAAACAATAATCGCCAAAACTGAGGGCAGGTCTCTCTGGCTAATTGGAAAGATCGAATCCAATCGCCGTTGTAGATTGTTTTGCTCGCCGGTTAAATCAGTTGAAACCGAAACGTCGTCGCTAACGGAGCTAGTGCCACACTCGGAAGCGTGTATACAAAATAGTCACACACACACACACACACACACACACACATATCTATATATATTGTGAACGAACATTATCTTCATCAAACGACATTGGCATTCAAGTGTGCAATTTATAGCGTGGCGCTAATTGCCCCCCAAAACGGCCTTTCCCCCATATATATATATATATATACACAATATATATAAATGGTATAAAGAGGCCATTCGGGTCAAGTGCTCTAAATTGAATGTGTCAGTTGGCATCGTCGATCGGACTCAATATGCTGTTGCACTTGCTTTGCTTGTGCCTGCTTTCGCCCGTTGTTACCATCGCATCACAATCCATATGCGGTTCCATGGAACTGCGCCAGATCTCGGATTTTCAGCAAATGCGCAACTGCAGCATTGTTGTGGGCCACGTGCGCATTGTGCACCTGGAACTGGCAAGCAATGCGAGTCTGACAGAGTTGCGCAGCGAGGTAACCGAGATCACCGACTATCTGATGCTCTATCGTTGCACCGGTTTGCTTACGCTGCAGTCCGTGTTCCCAAAGCTGAAATTGATACGCGGCCAGAAGCTGCTGTTCGATCAATATGCCCTCACAGTCTACGAGAATCGCAATCTGAGGGAGCTGGGATTTGTGGAGTTGCAGCGCATTCAGAACGGTTACATTCGCATCGAAAGCAATCCCATGTTGTGCTTTGCGGAGACCGTTGACTGGATCTATCTACTCGGCAATGTCACAGCTCAGCATTTCTCCATTAAGGTGAGCTCGAATAAACGCTAATTGAGCTTCAAACTTCAATGTTCTACAATATTATTATACACTTATAAAATTATGAGATTAAGCCATCCCGGCAGATGCTCACGTTAAACCAATTGACTTTATACACTTATAAAATATATACATAAAAAATAAAATATAAAATATATAATATTATATAGACACTTATAAAATAGTTTGGGATAGTGAGTGTTTTGCAACGTGATTTATATTTAATTAATAATTTATATATTATTATATTTTTTCTTAATATTTTGATTTTTACATGTTATACATTAATCTAATAATCCTAAAACCGTATTTACTAATGGAAAATTCATCACTTTCGTTGAGGCTCTTTTTAGTGCAATAATTATAAAACTACTTATACTTATTTTTATATTTATTAGGCACATATTAATTTAAGAAATTTCAAATTATTTTAATTCAAATCGAAAATCGATGAATGTATTTGAATCTTTTCTTATATTCAAGCTGAACAAATCGCCAAATCATTGCCCAGTTTGTGGCGGCCTCTCCGCGGATTTTTCGAATCGGATAAATAAGAAAAAATACTGCTGGAATATGGAAACAGATCAGGTGCGCCTGGAGCCGCCACGACGCCAAGGCTGTCCGGAGAGTTGTGGTGGCAATGGTTGCGATATGTCTGGCAACTGTTGCCAGTCCAGTTGCATTACGGGCTGCTCTCTGCAGAATTGTACGCTGTGCGCCAATTATCAACGGAATGGAAGCTGTGTGGATCGGTGCATTGCCAGCTATGAGCTGCACAAGAGGCAGTGCATCTCGCACAAGGAATGCCGACAGCTTAATCTCATTCCCCTGACGAGTGGCTATCGCTGTGTGGAACATTGCCCCAATAATCACAAGCCCGTCATCGAGGCCAATGGAATGTTGCAATGTCAGCTGGAGTGCAGGGGCGTCTTCCATGTGAAGCGTGGCGCGGATCTGGAGCAACTGCGTGATTGTGTAACCATCAATGGATCGCTCATCATCGAGCTGGTCGATATAAAGGGTGAGCCAATTATAGATTCCTATCATTGAAAACGAATAATAAAATAAACACTTGATGTGACAGAAAAAATTGTATCTGCTTTGGAGCAGGCGTTGGGCAGCATCAAAGAGATTACTGGCTATCTAAAAGTCGTGCATTCAGCTCAGCTAATGTCGTTCTCCTTCCTCCAAAACTTGGATACTATACGCGGCGATGAGCTTATTGAAAACAAGTAAGAAAATTGCTCATCTAATCTTAAATTTCATTTTTCGAAACATAGTTTCTGCTCGAAAATTTAATTACAAATTCAATGCAAGTTAAAAAAAAACTATATTTAGAGCGATTTAAGTCAATTTTAATTAATATAAATATTGAGATATGCATTAAATTGAATACAAATATTTATTATTTATTGATCAATCACAAACTGTGCACTTTCAGATACGCCTTGTTCGTTGTGAACAATTATCACATGGAACACATTTGGCCAGCCAATCGTCAGGTGGCCATACAGCGTGGCACAATTTTCTTTCACCTGAATCCCAGTTTGTGCTATGAGAAGGTGCTAAAGCTGCAGTCCTCACTGAAGAGCATCCGCAAGATCTCCATAGTCGATGTGTCGCCCAACTCGAATGGAGAGCGCGTCATTTGTGGCAATTTTGTGCGTACCCTGGATGCCCAGGTTGAGGATATTAATGCCACAGCGGTACGAATTGCGACAAATTTTTTGAAATGTGACGATATGGAAACACTGCTCGGCTACTCATATCATTATATGGAGGCACCCCAGCGCAATGTCACCAAGTACGATGGTCGCCATGGCTGTGGACATGACAAGTAAGTGGGCCGTGATAACTGGCCAACTAATCGAGAGTATCTAAATGTGGCTCCAATCATTTCTATTAGCTGGCTAATGGACGTCTCAACCAGCAAGAATCGTCGACACGTCCTCGCCAACCTGAAGCCCCACACTCAGTATGCGTACTTTGTGAAGACTCTCACACGTACCGATTACCACATGCAACTTGATGCATACTCCAAGATACTCTACTTTCGCACGCTGCCCAGCAAGCCGAGTCCAGTGAGTCGACTTCATGGCAGCTCCGATCACAGTACGGAAGTTGTAAGTCATTTTCTTTTTGTGGATCGAAAACTTTAGTTTCTTTTATTAAGTATAAACTTAAATTTGAGACAAAAGGTTATAGTAAACTTGTGCAACAGTGTGTAGTAAGCAGATGGGATATATTCTTGATCAGCACCAATAGCCGAGTCAATTTGGCCATATCCGTCTGTGTCTCTGTATGAGCAAGCCGCTGCTGATTATACCTAGTTTAGTTAGGTGACTTCTTAGCCTACAATATCCTGTCAAGAGACTGATCAGTATTTTAAGTCTGTTCTTTCCCATGAGAATTACCTATATAAATCGTCTTTGATTATAGTCATCTAGAAGACAGATGGTGTTCATCAAATTAACAATTTATGCGAAGTACTTCCAAATCGAGATCTCTTTTGAGTAGAGCATTCAAACTTGTTTTTGATATGTTAAGTAGTTGTCTAGAATCGGCCACATTGTATCATTTTACCATATTTCGGTTGCAGAAGTATCTAAAAATATTCCTGCTTACTAAGATATCCGAAACAGCAATTGTCAATTGTATTATATGATTATGTTATAGTAATCATTTTTGGCTAGATGTATATTTGGTCAACTAAGTATTATAGTTTTATTTGTAGGATGTTGTATGCTTTTAACATCTACAGATTATAGTTAATATCAATAAAAGTCGCTGATAATTTATCATATAACTCATCCCGTTGCCTATGCTCATCCATTCCTTGTTCTTGTAGCTATTGAATTGGTGGCCACCACGTCGTCCCAATGGGAACATATTCAAGTACATAATCAACTATGAGGTGCATAATCTGACCAAGACGGAGGAGAGTGGCAGGAACTATGCCACATTTAAGGCAAGCAATAATAGCTTTCTGGACTGCGATTGCAATGATCTGGTATCATATGATTCGGGACCACAGCCAGAGGATGAGAACTACTACAGTAAGGAGCAAATAACCTATGATGATGCGCTGCCCAATCTGATATATGTTTCGTAAGCATTAAATGCTCTGCATCCCATTTATACAGCTTGAGTGATGCCTGTTTCAATCATTTCAGACGACGCAAAAACCAAATTAAGACAGACAAATTTGACAAGGTCCTGGACTTTAATGATCTGATCGCTGGCACCTCGTTAAATGCGAAGCCCATCAATAAGAGCAGCGAGGCAGAAACCAATGCAACAACTCCAGCTATCAACGGCAATTTGACAATTTCGGAAAAAAAGAATGAAACTGAATCCTTGGAAGCCAAGAAGGCTCGGAAGGCAGCTCAGATTTTAGCTGAGCAGGCAGCCAAACATTATGATGAGTATCGCGAGCGTTTGGAGCAGAAAATGCGCGAAATTCAGGATACGGGCATTGCGGACTATCTAATTCAACATGCCCAGCCAAAATGCAAGGATATCCATGCCTCGATCAGCTATCAGCTGGAACAGAAATGCATTGTGGAGGAGGAGCTGAGTGGCATTCAATTGCCCGGCACACAGCATTCCCATAAGCTGACCGACCTGCTACCCAATCAGTATTATCGCATCTCGGTTCGAGCTTGTGCTGAGGGCGTCTTGAATGGCTGTTCCAATCCCACCGAGATGCTACTGAAGACCATCAGCGTTGAGGTCGAACAGTTTATGAATGGCAACTGACAACAATTAGATGTTTTATTCCATCATTATTTTAATATATTTTTGTTTTACTCAGTGGAATTATTGTGTCAGGGAAATTTGAAAAATGTTTGTAGCAATCAATCAGCTTATCAATTTATTTTTGATTACCAGTTATTTAAGATACATTTTAAATCGATTGTAATTTTTAGCTTTAGCTTTTGTGAACTGTAAACTAAAATACTCAGGCTACTAAGTTGTATTGAAGTATGTTTAATAACTAAATGCAAATGTTCCGTCTGATGTTGGATTTGTCGATATATGTATGTGTGATATATATAGTAGTTGTTAACTGAGTATTTTTGTTTGTTTTAATTAATTCTTAACCGACTGCTAACTGAGTATGATAATGGCAAAATGTTCAAGTGTATTTGCAAAAGTTCCTCAAACTATATAAATTAAATCAGAAAATCCTTTTATCTATGGTAATTTGACATTTTAGCTCGTCGGCATTACATGCTGGCTTTAAAGTCTTAACAGTTATTTACAGACAGGCACACACACACGCACACACACACACACACACACACACACTAAAGCGCAAAGAGCTTTAATCTGGCAGGCAAAGATTCCTGACATTTTGCAAGTTGGAATTACGGTTACGGAGGGCTCAACAATAAGCCTACGCCAAACTAACAACAGCAACACCTGCCTCCTCGTCGTCATCGTCCTTTTGGATTCAAAAATTACAGTACGCCAGAGCAACAACATCCACTCCACAAAACACTCTCTAACCTGCACAGGACCTGCCTTTCAGTTGGATGCGTCAGTTGCAAAGCGTTCAACGCATGCCACTTAATATGCAAATATGCCACAAAAGAGCTTTAAAACTTTAAAACACTGCCAAAAAACAACAAAAAACAAAAAAAAGAAGAAAAACAGAGCCAAAAAAAAAAAGGAGGAAAACTAAAAATAATGCCGAGTACGCTGGATGTTGAGGCGAGAGCACAGGACGACGTTCCGGAGTCGAGTTGAGTACGTGTCATGTGTCGCCCTGTTTGTGGTTGAACTTTGGCTCAGCAGGCAGGAAACTTGCACAAAACGTGTCCCGCTCAATGGCCGTTGATTGACGAAGGCGCAAGTGACGTAACGGGACACGTTTTGTTTTGTTGCTGTGAGCCGTGTGCGAAAAAGGATTTGCACTTCGAGTGAGTCCCTGTCGCTGACAGTGCGACCACAATGTCGTTAGTTTTTGGTCTGGTGTCTTAGTTCTCAGCACTCAGCTCTCAGCACACACACACACACACACACTCGCACACACACACACAGCTCTTTGGTCTCAGGTCTCTGGTGCTCAGACTGTTTTCAGTCCTGGTGCGGTTTTCAAGCACCTTTCCTGCCGTCAAATCCTAAACCGATTGTATTCGAATATTTCAATGTCTTCGGCACTTTTACTGTTGCGCCATTTTGGTGCACACTTCCGTGCTCCCATTTCGTCGTTATCCCTGCACTCGTTTATTATCCATGCACTGCCATCGTCAGCACTCTCCGTGTGTATCTTGTGTGTGCTTGTTTGTCTCGAGGTTGAGGTGTTGAGGCTGCTCCTGTTGCTGTTTTGGGGGCAACCGACGTCAGTCAGTTGGACAATTTAACTGAGTGCTGCACAATTCTGTGCTGAGCTTATGCCGTGTGCACTTCAATTGTCCTTGCCACACCACACACCACACACCATACACCATGCACCATGCACCATGCACCACAACACACACCCCAAAAGCGTTGACATCGACATCGACATCGACAACGCATTTCAGTTTGCCTGCGTCTACACGTCTGAGCCGGGGATTGCAGCTAAAGCATTTGGATTTTGCTGGGATATGGCATTCCCAGCCCTCGGCTACCCATCGCTGCTGTGCATTAGGGTACCCTCTGGAGTGCAATAGGGGACAGGGGATGAACAAGTAGTTCACACTATGTTATTGATATATGAACACACTTTCTATGTTTTCTCCAGTTAATGTCAGTTAAACCTTGATGCAACGATCTGCCAATGGCCAAATGGCTTTTGAAATAACTTATTTTCACTATGTTTATATTATTATCTTATTTTATTCAATTGTTCAATTCAATTCCTAAATCAGATGGCCAACTAAATTTATCTCTCTTTGGAATGAGCACGCTATAAATTATGTCGTTTGGCTTCAGGAGTATGGCAAAAATAAAACTTTGAAGCTTAAGGTAAACTGGCTTTATAATTTAGCATTTTAAAAACGATTTTTATCGATATATTTGCACATGTTGTATTATTCGAATGTTAAATAATTAAACTCGATCCATTTATCAATCTTCATTTATCTTCAACTTTTAACGTTCTCAATGAATAAATCGTAATTTAATCGAAAATAAAACACATTTTATTTAAAAATTATAGTGATTAAAGCTGATTATGTTCTCTCTTATTCCTGACAATTGCTTTTCCAAACTTTAAAAGTCATATATATATATATATATAATAATTAATTGGTTTATTCTTATCATTAACTGATTTGTCAACAATTATAGTTTCTTCCACACAACATTCATAGCTTATTAATTATATATTATTGATATTGATATTATATTGATTTTCCAAAACATATACATATATATAATAATTTGTTGTGAAACTTGAAATTAAAATGAGTTTAATCGAATGCAAATTTGAATTTATCCCAAATTTCAAACCAGGAGGCGCAATCAGTTTCAAATTGCATATTGATTTTTGCACATAACTTTCAAGCTAATAGAAAGTTGTTGTAAAACAAAGTTTATACTTCAATTTCTATTAGTGTGCAACCATCCAGTAATCAAATTTCAGTCAGTCAGTCAGTTAGTCAGTCAGTCAGTCAGTCAGTCAGTCAGTCAGTCAGTCAGTTAGTCAGTCAGTCAGTCAATACAAATTTTATAGCATCGCAGCTAAGCAGCTACATTTTGAGCCTGACCTCGCTTTAGCTTTGACTGTTACATTTCGATCACGTTGACTGAGTTCATTTGCAATTCATTATGTTGTTATCCAGTCTTTTTGGCCCCACTCACATAGCAAATCCAATTGGCAATGTTAGACAAATACTTCCGGATAATATAAAGTGGCACCAGTAATCACACGTGCATAGTTGATGTTGGCATTTCAGTTGATTTTCGTTTAAGTCGCACTCAAGTTGCGATGCCATGGAAATGAGCAGCTGGAGGGATAACAATCGTATCGATATACCTGTCTAGTAAGTATCACTTGCACTCATCTAAGAGTCTCCATGGCAGCGCTCTCTCCTCCAGTCGGTCAGCTGGAGTGCGTTTGCGCACTTGATACCATTGAGCTTACACAGTTGAAGGACCAACAGAGAGAAATGGTATGTATATGTGGTAAATATATATATATATATATATATATATATATATATGTATATATTTATATAGCTTAGCAGCTCTTGCGTGTGTTGCTCGGCCCAATCGGACTGTTTCATAAATAATGCAAATGCCTGAAATACAATATGTGTACTTTTTGTTCACGTCACTTATAGTTCAACATGACACAATTTAGATGGTTGCGATAGCTTGTTGTTTTTGTTTTCCCTTTGCTTTTCCACTTTTTTTTTGTTTTTAATTATACTCGAAATAGATGCCGGTTAAAACACTTTTGAGGCGACTTTTTCCACTCTTGACATTTGAATGATTTATACACAATTGATAAAATGACCACAGTAAATATACACACATGTGCATATACATATGTTTATATATATATACAGTTGTTCTGGTCAATTGAATTCAATTTCATTCATTTTTGGGGTCATTACACGCATGCTTTTCATTTTCGACAAACATGCGATTTGATAAATATGGTTCGTTTATCGGACGTCATTAGAGCCGATTATAGGTGAGTGACAATTTGTGGCCAGTTGTTGTTAACTGAATATAAACCGCTTAACAATCGATTAGGTTAAAGTTCGTTTGGGGCTAAATTTGTGGATAAGCTGGAACTGCCCTCGTCAATAGCTGTCAATTACTTGACTCTGGCTGGGTCGATCGATTGAAAAACTCAGATTTAGCAGCTGTCCTTTTGTGTACATGCATTGCTTCTAGGTGGTTATCTTTATAAGATCATAATTCTATATTATTATTGCCATGCCATTTTGAAAGTTGGCAGATTGGCAGAAGCAGATACTAAATATATTTATTATTTATCAGGAAAATGAACTGCCTCAATATAGCTAGGCTGTAAGAAAATTAAAACAAATTTAGGTTTTCGAATATTATCTTAAATTTAAAGTTATAATGAAATGTTGTAAAATCTTAAGTTGTCAACTAATAAACTAAGTTCTATATATCTGAAATTAGATGTGACATTGTCATTATATTTGTTAGCTCTGGAAAATTGTAAACTTTGAAGTCATAGATAAATGATTGCTTTAAATGACTGATTTCAAGTTTATCTCGAGCTTGAAATTTTTAATCACAAACCGTACAGAATGTACATTCTATTGGCTCAATAATTTCCAATAAATTGCGTCAACAAATTTGAATAGCGAACTGTTGACCAATTTAAGCGAATCATAAACTTTGCTTTTGACTAACGCGTGCAATACTGAAAATTACACCTTAATAAAGAGCTCAATTTGAAATGTCGACAAAATACAGCCGAAAATCCAATATCCATTGGTGCTGTTAGAATGTACATATGTGTTTATGGCCATAGTGCTCAATTGCTTAGAGCCCGATGTCACATTCCCAATGCACCATGCACCATGCCCCATGCCCCATGCCGCAAATTCCCAAATTCCCAATTCCCGCTTCAATGCGCGATTCGCCATGCCCAGCGACGACTAGATTGCAATTCCGTGCAAATTTGCACAAAAACACTATTCAATGCTGCAGCAGGCGGCCATTGTTTTGGGCGCCATATTTGTCGGCCATTTGGGAGGAGGACATATCGCTCGATGCTTCGCTGCATTTCCGTTGTGGCGAACGCATTCATTTTGGCATCATCAACGTTGTATGATGTGTTGGCAAAACGTGTCATCGGCTAGCCTCCGTTAACAGACTCGAACATACACAAACAAATACCGTCAGCAGTAAGAGAGAAAGAGAGAGAGAGAGAGAAAGTGAAAGAGAGAGAGAGAAAGGTGAGTTGAGTACGTGTATGTGGCGACAGCTGACGATGCTGCTCAATATCATATCAATTTTTACTGACTTGACTGTGTGTGTGTGTGTGTGTGTTTCTCTGTGTGTGTGCGTGTGTGTGTGTGTGTGCCAAATGGGTTGTTGCTTGGGCGTAATTGGTTCGTAATTGAAAAGTTTTGCGGGTAATTAATTGCCGAAAGTTGCCTCACGACATTTTATGGCTTTTGCTGAGGTTTGCCAAACTTATCGCAATGATATTTTTTTTATTTATTTTTTTTACTCACATGTAAGTAGGTAAGTAAGTTAATTAAGCGACAGTCAG